ATACCTGCTCACAAGACGTTGATGAATGCTATTGGGATTTGTACGTTTGTCCAACTGACTCTAGCTGCAGAAATTTGCCAGGCGATTATGCGTGTGACTGTTACAGGAGTCAAGGTCTTGAGAATGATGGTCTAAGAACATGTAAATCTATAAGTGAGTATTTGAGTAGAAATTTATCTATAAAAAGTTGTGTGTCTCATAAGTCATTTTGCCGGCATTAATGTTCATGGTTGTTTTGTTTTTGTTAACATCCATCGTGACATAACTGTTACAGAGCTATTTAAAGTTTCAACGTGTGTCATTTTTCTAAGCATTTGAAATTAAACCACGATTTTTAAAAAAAAAACTAATATTTAAATTTATAATATTAATTATCTCATTTACTGACTCAAGAACGTTATATAAATAAATAAATAAATTTATTTATTTATACAGAACGGTTGATGCGCAGGAGGGCTCCGGTCCTGACTTATCGCAAACTTTATAGATTAAGCAGTCGTTAGTACAGGACCCCTCCTCTCTGTGATTTATATGTTGAGTATACAGGCTTTGGGACAGACAACGCACAACTTATGACTTAAATGAACACTGAACTACTGAAACTCCAGGTGTCCGGATGATGAAAATAATATGTTTATTACTAATATAAAAAGTTCTTCTGTATTCCTCAATGATTGTCAGCTATCTGTGTGAATCTCTAAAAATCACCATCCATTAATCTCCAACGCTAAAAACCAAAACATAGTCTCCTCTCTCCGGAAATTGTCCCGTAACTCATATATCATTGAATAAACGTGGGGCCACTAATGGGGAATTTCCGAACAAAAAAAACAAACTAATTGCTTACTGACACCATTATCAAAAGAACACATAATAAAATCATAACCATTCCCGCCCACACTATGCATTACCTTAAGAAACAACGGAGCGCCGTTGGTAAACCCCGCCCCAATCAGCAGTCATTTTTTACATATATATGTAAAACGGAACAAAAGGAACAGTTGCAACAAAGTCAAAGTCAGACATCTGTCAAGATCAAAGAAATATTATACATCTCCACACAGTCCCCATTCACACACATTTCAAGCACAAAAACTATACAGCGATTTAAAATGACATTATTACAACGAATAAATATGACACACAGCAAGCTGGATGACAGTCTTTCTGATAAGGCAGCCAAACAAATTAATTTGATGAGCGACCATATACTGGCTGATTGTTATGGCATGAACTAGGAGTTTTATTTCCTGGTTCCTTTCTCGTTTCAACAACTGCTTGCATGAAACATTTAATCTGGCAATTGAATTTTTTTTGTTTTTATCTCAAGACTTTTATTCAAGACCGTATTTTAAAATGATAAAGTATTGTTTTGCCATAATTTGAACGGAGTGAAATATGAGTGTCTTTCATACTTATTCGGTTACCCATTCTCCCCGCAGGTTGCAGTTACATCCTGACTGAAGCATCCGGGTTTATAACCAGTCCTGATTACCCGAATAAATATTTCAACAATGCTAACTGTTCCTGGCTAATCACAGTAAATGAAGGGAATGTTATAACCATAAGGTACATTTAAAAAAAAAATGTTTTTTAAACTCTAAAACACAATCAACAGAATAAAAGAATGAAGAATATGTCCATTGTCATAGGACACTGACCGTTAATTTGTTAGCCAGAATCACAAAATATCTGCATAGAATTAGTGCAAATAAGTATGTGTTCATTTATGACACTTGTTTCTCTCCAACGACATATTTCAAGAACATTCGTTGTGCACCTGCATTAGGTTGCATAGATTTGTTGGGGTGGTATATTATTGATAAGTCAATCCTGGTGTGTCGCTCATTACGTTGTACACGTCTAGTCGGTCTGACATCGCCTTAATATCCAGATTAATGTATATTTCAAGAGTTAGCGTAAGAAAGCTGCTGATCCAACGGGAATAATATTATCAATCACCTGTCTTGAAAAATTTCGTTGATGCCACCGGACACCCGACTTAAGTAAAATTCGTCGCACGTCATTTTTTTTTTAGAGGAAGCAAGCTCTTAGCAATTGTTGGTTATGTTATTCGGTCCAATAATAACAGGATTGTTTATAGGTTTTAACTTAAATTTCCCTCTTAACAACTAGGGATGCCAAATAAAAATTCCGGTGAAATAAACCTGAAATACCGATAATTATTGATTTCCTGTATAAAATAGTGTTTAACATGAATAATGTCCATGCATGAGAACAAAGAAATAAAAAAGACTCTTTAAAAAAAAAAAAAATATTTAATAAATAATCTATAATTATTATCTTTTTTTCTTTTAAAAAAAAAATAGGCCTTTTATTATAATAAATAAATGGTGTTTTTTTTTTAATTTAAATAAGTTAAAAAACTTAGGCCACTTAAACCTTTAGTAAGTTAGCTAATGGTGTAATATTTTTTAAAAATAATGTTATATTCTAATTTTTAATTATAACATTCATGATTCTGGAGTGTTGCCTGTTAAACAATTTCTTATCTTCCATTGTGCAAAAAATAAACCTCACAAGGGAGTTTTGTTTCGAAAAGATTTTAAAATGATGTCTTTAAATATTACTTTTTCAGGTTTGAAAATTTCAACACTGGTTTGTATGATTATGATAATGTAATGTTTTACAATGGAAACAACACTAGTGCAAAGGTCATTGGCCGGTACAGTGGTGGACTTGAAACAATCCCGCACATCATCAGATCTAACGGCAACAGAATGTTCATTCATTTCATCTCTGATCCGTATTATTATGGGGGATATGAGACGGGATTCAAGGCTATATATACATCACATCGTAAGTACTCGAAGAGAGAACTTCAATTATAATAATAGTTGATTTAGTAAAATATCACTTTATTACAACTTGGAAACTTAGTTCGTCCTCAGTAAATCCGTACGATTCCATGTGTAAGGCAAATATATATATATACCGGTACACACACACACACACATATAATATATAGCTTTTTTCACTAATAAAAAATAAACAAGATATGGGCTACGTCCAAATATTTGTAAAACAGATTAGCTTGGCCTTGGTTGACGCCTACTTTGCAATCTTGGTTGATCCTAATATAATCATTGTTGTTACTAAACTTGATGCATTTGATTAATAATTTAGTCTAAAATTTAAAAGAAACTCTAAAAACATTTGATACAAAATAAAATACAGCAGCATGTTGGAATCACTGGGCTGGTCACCATTGGAGGAACGACAACTATCCAGGCTCTCCATTATGTACAAGATAAAAAATGGGCTGGTCCACTGCTTCAGCATTATACAGAAACTCGCCCTTCTCCCCCCTAGACAGCTACGAGGCCATGGCAGACAGTTCCGGCTCATTACAACAAGAACTCAGCTCCCCACTCTTGCCCAAGACAATAAGGGACTGGAACAAGCTTCCAAATGACACAGTTGAGGCGACTACATTTGAGACTTTTGTGTTTATGGCCTCCTGTCTTCCCATCCCAGTTCATAATACCATAGCTGAAGTATCCCCTCTATTCCCATGCGCACTTACATCGCGAACCCCCATGAAGCCAAGGAGCCATAATTATCAATACATTGAGCGTGGTCCCTCAAAATGTACAAGACAAAAAATTATATTTTATTGTACCTAATTAAGATCTATGACAGGGGCCTCCAAACTACGGCCCGCGAGGCTCTCTCATGCGGCCCGCGGAGACCTTTTGTAAACGGAATAAAAAATTACGCAAAAGTACGTGTATCCTGACCAGATCAGACGCCGCTTACGTGGACGTTATGTTTTTACCGAATTAAAATAGAGGCTCGCAGTAGTGCGTTACGTTTTCTAACCGATCATTACTTGGCAAAATCTTATTCGATGCTTAGTTTTTCTACTTTCGTTCACAGTCCATGAAATGACATGTAGTGGCGGGGCTTTGCCCGCCGTGTTGCAGACATGGTTGAAAACATTGTGACTCAAACTCAAATATTGAAAAATGCAAGCAAGTTTCACCATTTTTTATTTGCAACGGATGAATCGCTGGACAGCTGTTCCGCCTCTCAACTGCTTGTGTTCGTTAGGAGTGTTGTTGAAGACATGAACATAACACAAGATCTATACACCTCTAAAAGGCCTTCAGATCCAAACTCGTCTTGTTTTTGGAACAAGTACAGGCCAACAACTTTACGCTCTTGTAGCAGTGGACGGTCTTCATGAAGCAACAGTGGAGTTCCCCACGTCATTTGCTCGGAGATCATCAAAGACCCCCAGTTGCATTTTCAGCAGCGGTTTTCTGACTTGGAATTAAAGGCAGAAGAAGTGAGACGTTTTCAAAACCCAATTGAAACAGATGTGGCCAGTCGCCCAGAGAAACTGCAGCTGGAGGTCATTAACTGAATGAAATAATATTATATAAATAATTAAATACAACATCCATGTTTTGATTCTTTTTATTTGGACCTCGATTGCAGTGATTATTTCAGAAATTTCCCCCGGAGGGAAAGGGGGGGAGGAAGAACTTCAGATTTTTCGGGAGGGGGGAGGGGCAGTGCCAGCAGTGCCAGTTGATTCATTATTGGAAATGTTTTTGGTCCGGTGGGGGGGGGGGGCTTGGGTTTCCCTACGGTGGGGGGGGGGGCTTGGGTTTCCCTCGGGGGGGGGGTAAACCCTGCTCGAGTGTGCAGTCGGCCCGTGAACTAAAATTCATCAGCGGCATTGCTGTCTCTTTCACTTAGTCAAGACCAGGGCAGTGCCGAGGAAAAGCAACGTAGGGGGTGATGCCTGAAAATGTGACCCATATAGATAAAGAAATAAATGCCTACCGGGCCTGAACATTAAGAATATGATTTCAAGCCTCTTGATATTACAAAGTACATACAACGTTATCGTTTAATTCCATATAGGCTAAAAGTCACATCTAAAAATTTTACTTATTTTCAACACTTTCCCAAAAATTTCAATGTCAACTCTATCAGTGTGAATATTTTATCTATTATTTATTCCAGCTTGCCGTTCCTTCACATTTGGCGAAACCTGTTCTGAATACTGCCACTGTAACAGTGAAAATTATCAGTTCTGTGATAACATTAAGGGAGATTGCGTGTGTAAACCAGGTTGGAGTGGCAACAATTGCTTTGATGACGTAGACGAATGTCTAGGCACCAATAACGTACTTTGTCCATCCAATTCAGACTGTGTCAACACACCAGGAAGCTATACGTGCAAATGTCGGCCTGGTTTTGTCAAAAATGTTTCAACTGGTTTATGTGACGGTAAGCTTAAATATGTATTTCTAGGCCTACCAGACTTTTAAGGGTTTAAATCGGGACCTATGTGTTGAGGTATCGCAAACGCTGTAACTAGGGCAATAAGGGTGCTTACAGCCCCGAATGCATCTTGAAGGCTTATATGTATAATATAGAAATATTTTTTTTTAAATGCAATTTCACATATATTATAATTGAAAGGCTAACTGTGAGTTATCGCCACTATTGTTGGATCCCTTTTAACCATTAAAAAACTAAATCTTTAAAATACATTTTTGTGCTGAAATAGTGAATACGTAAAGTAATGGATGCTCGAAATAGATTCATCACATTTTAATAGTTACTTGAGGATTCCAGTGCAAATAATGGCATTGGCTTTCAAGTCAGAAAGGCTTCTAATACACTTTAATTGTAAGCGATTTCAAATGCATTTTATATATTTGCAACAATATAAAATACACTCTTAGTAAAAACGAAATAAAGTAAATCTCCAATATCAAATGGATAAGAACATAGTTAAGGCGTTTGTAACGTAGATCCTGTTACCATTTTTGAAAATTTCACTTTCAATCAGCTAGATTCCGTGAGCTCAACATAATTTTTAAATCCTTTATTTTAATTTCGCTTTTGTCCGTATGTTTGTTTAAAGCAAAATCTTCGGACGACCAACTGACGCACTTTCCGTAAACTTATCGAGCCGATGACAACAAAATTTATCAAATTTTCAGCCCCACCCCAAAAAACCAGTTTCAACTCTATCAGATGGCACCGATTTCACGAAATAAAATTCCCGATAACTGCGCTAAATGAGATCTTTTAAATATCGCAAGTGTTTTTGGTGCGTAATGTTTTCTTTTAATTTACAGAAATAGTAACTGTTGTTTTCATAAATCTGCGATGTAAAAAGTGTGTGGGACATTAGATTTTTTATAAAATTCAGGGGCATGAACAAATTTGCGGTTTCGAGTCTTGAGGGTGGAGGAACACTAACTATGATTCTTATAAAGTGTGTTACTTAAAGCATGCTTTATTTACAAATGTTCAGCCCCCCTCACCCATTGCTTGATATTAAATTTTACAAAAGGATTTAAACAAAAAAACTTTGTTTCTAAGTGTTCTTTAATTATTTAACTTACATTCGTTACAATACATAAATAGCAGCACCAGAAAATACTGTTTTATACCCCGAATTACAGTTTTTCTACTTGCGGATTGCTGTTTAAAGGTATTTGCCTTATTTTAATTTTTTTTTTAGTTTCAACGGAATGTTATAGGAAGAAATGTTCCCACTTTTGTTACATACTAGACGATATGGAACAATGTATTTGTCCAGATGGATTAGAGCTTGATGTCACAGGATTGGTTTGTGTCGGTGAGTTTTCTTTTTAATTTTCCATAATAGCAATGGTTACCCGGTTCGACATACCTACTCATGGTGTCACCACCTCCCTCCGACTTCCACGATGGATAAATTTCTTCGTGCTAAAATAAATCCACAGTATAATAATGACAAGAACAGGAACACATTAATTAAAGGTCAGAAGGGGAATGTATTTAAGAACTGTAACAACGTTAAGTTATAATTATTTTTACCGGTACATTAAACTTATTTTATTAAAATTTTTCTGTCTCGGTCTTCAAAGATGAAAACCTGTCAATCACTTGAAAAAAATCAATGTCCTTCACCGTATTACATTAAATTGATAGTAGAGCCAGATCAGTTACTCTTGACTGTTCCATGGTGGATCGTAAATTGTTATTTATAAGCCTTAGTTTTGAAAAGCTCCGCTCACATAAAGCCACATACACACAGATCGTAAGAAACATTTGAAGCGTTAGCGAGAGTATTGGGAGATATTCTAGAAAGTCCCTCTCAGCTATACATTTTGAAACATCAAATACTGTCCATTCCGTGACTTTGTGAAATTCAATATCAGCTGCCTTTAGGTGACTTCTAAGCCTTGGTATTTCTTTTAAAATTTCATCTTGTGATAAGTCATCATAGAAGAGGTTATTTTCGGAATATACACCAATAACTCTTCTTCACTTGCTGATAGTAGACTCTTTGGTTGAATAGCTCCAAACATATCTGCTACTTCATTTTTTGGATGATCTGATCTGGGGTTCAGAACGGAAGCGATCAATACACTCCAGCATCTCTGAACTGTTTTCTTCTGGCAAAGTGAGTCTAGCAGCTATTTATTGTTCTTTTGCCATAATCTTCTTCAACCTTCATATTCTCTTTTCAATAGCATGTTCCACCAAGTGACAGCGTTTCTTGTGCAGAAACAATCTTAAGCCTAAATTTGTTACCACTTTGTCAAGAGTCCTTTAGTCTGCAAGATCAACTTCCTCAAGTAGATCAGCCCAAAGTTAAAAGTAGCAGATAAACGTGAAATTATGTAAAAGACCTTGTGCAGTATGATAATTGTGCTCAAATGTTAAGGGGCGGTGCTAGTGACGTGTAGGCGAAAATATTTATTTTTTAACATTTCTTGGTTTATTTGGTTTCAAAAACATGTTTTTTAAGAATTTAAAATAATTTCAATTAACTGTTAAAAGATATTAGATCATTTTGTAAAATTGTATTGTGTTAACCTATAAATGAGTAAAAAGCTGTGTTTTTTTAATGTTTTAAATTTTTACCGATTCAATTCATTTACTTGAAATCGCCAGACAACATCGTTTTTGATACCGAGGGAAAACTTTATGTCTCAGAATTTAGATAAATAAAGCTTCCTGTAACATACAAAAATTACGGAACACTTCAATCAGCTTTGCAAACGATATTTTTCTGATCTAATTATAGGGTCATGTCATTTCTGACGCCTCTACCTTTAACTTTTAATAACCACGATTTGGGATGGTTACATGTGTGGGAAAATTTACATGTGATTGGTTATCCTTTTTTAAAATTCGGTTATTCCGAGCATTGAGTGCTCTGTAAATAAGCTATTTTTCAAATTGGTGTCAACCTTGGCATAGTGTCACCTAGTGCAGACAGCATCCCCTGCACCCCTTAGCTAAGCCATTGCATAATAGGCTAGTGGTTTTCTGGTTATAAGTTTGTACATATTTATAATATATTTAATAAAGAATTGCTAAATGATGATTAACTTTAATTCTATATGAACTTTATTGTTTCAAATTATCCCTTTCAAATTGTTATCAATATTTGCATTTTAAAATATGTATGCAGAAGTATTATTCAATGATATGCTCACTAAGGATCTGAAATTTAATCGTAACATAACGGATAAGAATTGAAGGATTGCATTCAAGCTGTGTGAAGGAAAAAGTAGAGCAAGGTATGCGTAAGCTTGAATCGAAAGGTGGGACGATGTTGTCCTCACTTTTCAAACTTCCACATAACTTGTCCTACTATTTCGTTGTAATATGAACCAAGTAAAGAAAATTTATTTCAATCTGTATATCTTAATATTAATATATAAAACATTGCCTTTAAATAGTTCCTTATTACCCATATGGCTCTGACGCTAATGATGAGATGCTAAGCTCTCAGATGTATGGCAGGTCATTATATAAAGGATCAATCTTAGTGAGCCCACCCATCTACTTCAGTACTGCAGTACCTTTTGGAAATACACAAAACATGCACAAAGTAGCATACGTGAGTTCATTTATTAGAAATATGTATGCATCAAATCACTGTGAGGCACAAAAAGTTGTTTGTGTGTGTGTGTATCTACACTTGACTTGAATTATAAGTTAAAATGAATTTAGCTCACTATTACAGTAATCTGTGTGTCTCGTTTAAGACGAGGATTTATAAAACAAATTTCTAACTTTGGAACAGTTCATGCATAATATGAAGTATTCAAGTTAAATTATGGGAAAATAAAGATAAAGTAAGAATTTTCATATTTAATATGCTTCATAATTTTTTTTGAAATTTTTGATTATAATATGGTGGGTCTCTTTTATTTCCACTAAAACAAAAAAAATTAATATAAATTCATATGCATAGAATTCAAAGCATATACATTATTATATTTTTTACATTATTTCAAATTATTGCATTCAATTACATAACTTTGTTTTTTTTATGAATTTAACAAATTTTGATTTATTATGTTTCTCATTTGAATAAAATCATGAAGCTGGTTTAGTTTAATATTAGCTTAGAAATTGAGAAGACAGAAATACACCATAATTATAAATCAATTTACAGAAGCTTGAATTTAAAATCCTGTTATTTTCATTCAAATGTATTAATTTAAAAGAATTTGTGGGTACAACCATGCTGCTCTCTTCAACAAAAAAATAAATATAATTATACAATTTAGCATATGGTAATTTTTTTTTCAATTAGAAATTCTACATTTGTTTAAATTTTAAGTGTATTACTAGACTACCCAGCAAGTTGATATGACTAAACTTAAATAATATAAAAAATGAGCATTTCTTGTCCTATAAACAAAATTATTTTTTTAGGTCATGAACAATGGACTATTTGTTTTTGGTGATGAAAATATAGCAATATCTGCTAGTCCCAATCTAAAGCATGCCTTATCTCAAAAATTGAACATTGTTGCACCGTACTGGATAGATACTAAACCTAATTCAGGTCAGGAAAATTGAGTTAAATATTATTATGTTCGAATTATCCTTCTATCTATGTGAGGATATAGAGTTCCACAAGTGAGTAGCCTATGGGAGATAAATAAACTTTAAAAAAAAATATAAATCATCCAGTACTATATCAACCAATTATTGGAAAAGGCAAAATCGACCAATGGCATTGGCAATACTCTAAAGAGAATGTTTACTTTAGATGCAAGCATTAAGTTATTAAATTAGTACTCTAGGATCTAACTCATTTCATTAGCATGATTTTTAGTCAACTATTTGATAAATGAAATTTTGAGTAAAGTCATATTAAATTGTAATTGTAGTCTTTGTAATAAAATTTCTTTTATTTAATTTTCCTCCAGGTCATGTAAACTACCATCTTTATGAAAAATGTGGTCAGGATGCTTATGATGGAACAAAAGATGATTCAAAATCCCCATATATGATCAAAGTGATGACACGTGCTAATCAGGATTTAATAAAATATTATGGTTTTATTGGTTTTGATGTGGAAAAAGTGTTAGTATTGACATGGGTGGATGTCCAGGATATTTATGTAAGTTCATTTTTTTTAAAGATTTCAAAAATTATGATTACTGGGTTCATAATTACTTAATGACCAAATTTCTTTTTAGTAGTAGGGGTAACAATTTTAAAAAATTCACTATTAATTAAAATATTTATTTTATAAGTTTTCTTTTAAGCTTTGAAAAATTCTCCAAAAAATACTTACTCAAACTGATTAAAAATCATAACATGTTTAATCCAGCAGTATAAAATAATAAATCATATATATTTTCTCTCTTGTTTGTTATCATAGGGTACAGATACCATCACATTCCAAGCAGTGTTTATAAGTGGCTGGAAGAAAGAATCACAAAATGGACAGGAAATACAAGCAGGTAACATAAAATTATACATTGCCCATCTGTATAATCTGGCAATATTTATCACAATTATTTTCAATAAAATAATACCTTAAGAAACTTCCTTCATCCAAAAATTTAGTAAGTCAGATTTAATTCTTTGTTTAACGTTTTTTAACCAAAGTAAACCTTGCTTTAAAACATTTTTCAACAAATTTAAAAATCTATCAATGTCAACCAATTTAAACATCTTTAAACAATTTTAAAGGGTCAAGAATAAATATTTGTATGGACCATAGTAAATGTTAATATCCGTGGAAACCATAATTATTTATATAATTTAACATTGCTTCCCTAATAGGAGAACTGACATCCTACGTAATCTTTATGTACCAACAAGGAAAGATGAACTGGCCTTATATTGCTGGGAGGCTCATCAGTATTGGTTTTACTGGAAATAACCTTCCTTTCACCAACACATTCTTAGCCAGTAGACTAGATAAAATGAAAGGAAACACAGGTGTTACTTTTTAATTTGTAAAATAAACTTTGAATTTTTTAGTTAGTTCCAAATTGATAATAAAATTGTTGTATATTCTTCATATTATTATATATATAAAAATAAATTTATGCAAGTATTTCATATTAATTTTTCATTATATAAAATAACTGTAAGAATGTAAGGTTAAAAGCATCATTTTCATGTGCAGATAGAAAATGAAATGTATAGGGCTACATTTAAATTTTTCAAAAAATGTTATAGTTTGAGCAATATTTTTCAGAAGAATAATTTTTTTTAAAATGCGTTTTTCTATTTTTATTAGCCTCAAATCGGTGCTCTGTATTTTTACTTCAGGTTTCAATGGCGTCTTTACTTACAAAACTGGAAGCTCCAGCAGTTCATTACAAAAATGTCACAGCTACACATGCAGTAAAATTGACCTGTTGTCTAGCCCTGTCTATGAAAATGATAAGAGAACACTTTATGGGTGTCCATGCACAATGGAAAGACTTGGGGCACAATGGCAGCTGTACGAAACTCGTGGAGAGAAAAATGATATTGAATGTTATGCCATCAGTCACATTGCCAAGAAAAGACTACTTGCAAGCAATATACGAAATAAAGTATGAAAATTTGATAACCATTTCTTTTTGCTTCTGTATCAGAAATTTTTAATTATAAATAAATCCAATTAGTTACACTTGTTTGTGAAAAATAAAACTTTTAGACAGCATAATTCTAGTAAAAGGCCTACATTTTAAAAAAAGTTTCACAAACCTGGTAGCTTATTTTATTTAATTTTTTAAAAGTTATTTTCTTCTTTATATTACTGGAATAACAATCAAGAAACAAATGTGTTTAAAACTCCAACAATATTTTTTCAAAAATATATCTTTTACATTTCAAATATTAAATAATTCTTATACTTATATTTAAAATGTTTTCCATTGTTTTGTTTTTACAAATAAATGTTTTCCATCGTATTATTTATTTGCCATATAATTATGTCTATCCTAGAGTCTAAGCTCTTCAATTTTTCTTTATGGTTTATCTCTGAAATTTTTCTCTAGATTCTAGATGCCATTTAATAACTAATTTTGCTTTATTTGCTGATGTATTAAAAAAACTGTTAAAAATAAACTAAATAAGAATGGCTAATAAACATTTTTAAAAATTGGCTAAGAAGATTTTTACAAAATTTTCATTTTTTTTTTACAAATTATATTAATCTTTTTATTCTTTCCAGCTGTGTTGCTATAAACGGGAAAAAACCCAAAACCCAAATGACTGGAGAGATGTGGAACAAGCAATGAGAGATGCATCTTATGTACTCAACTCTGGACACGTTCTTATCAATGATCCCTGGTCCTTGTATTATTTCAATAATTATGAGGCTCGTGAAAATATAGCAGCTCATAAAACATGCTGCACAATGTCAAATAAGAACTTGTGTGACAGATTTTATAAAATATTTCCTGATATGGGTTGCAGTAACTTTGTTGTTTTTGTTCCTGGTAAAGAAATTAATATTTTTAGAACATTAAATAAGCATCTATATTTTGAATTTAATGCATTTGGTTTTTTTTAGTGGGCCCTAATTTGAAAAAAGAATAGATAACTTTCGATGTGTAATTGCTTATTGCCCGGCACAGAGTTTTTTATTGCATATTTTATTGAATAAAAACCTTCTATGATAGCTTTAGTAGAATAGAATAAATATAAGTATTAGGATATTTCAAATTTATTTTCTATTCGTTCTACTTTAAACTTTAATTTGCAAACAGCTTCAGCTTTTGGTGATCCTCACATTACTACACTGGATGGAGTAACATATCCATTGAATGTATGGGGTGAATACATCTTGATGGAAATAAAGTCCATGAATTTTGTGCTTCAGGTTATTTTCTTCAAAAAACTGTGTGCTGGTTTATAATACTACAGATGTTAATTTCATTTGATCTTTTTTTGCGATTGTTTGTAGAACTGTTTTATGTTTAAAGTTTATGTTTTTAAAGATAAAAGAAATGCTCAAGCAAATTATTATTAAATTAAAATGTCCTTTTCCATATCAGTGTAGAACAAGTAGAATTGAAAGTATCAATGGAACGCTAAGCAACGCTACTGTTTTCACTGCATTTGCGGCAAAAGAAGGGGACAATGCTAAATTTCAAGTTGAACTGGCAATCAACAATATGAGTAAGTTGAACATTTCTAAAACAACATTAATATTTTATAGTGTTAAGTGATAATCGTTTTTTTAACTTAATATTTTAAGATATTTTCAGATAAATTGTATTTGCTTAGTTTTTATTATGTTTAAATTTTACTTTTAGGGTGGGGGTATCATTTATTTTATGCTTTAAAGTAAATATCAATAATTTCATATTTGAATGATTCTAAAAATTAAATATGTTGCAAATAATTCTTTTAAAATTTCATTACAGCACTTGTCATCTATGTGAATGATATGGATATCACAAATGATTTTTACAAGGATGAAGAGTTTAAAAAAGAACTTGACCAGATAAGTGTCACAAGGGAAGATAGTTCTAACAGAACATTAGTAATCACAACATTCACATCTGGTAACTACTATACATTGTTTATTGTTAAACATAGATGCTTTAATTTTTACATTTTAATTTTCAAATTTTACAACTAGCTTTGAACACATTTTAACTCTTATAAACTATCTATATAAAAATCAATATTATTTACATTATAACTATTTATTATATCCCACACTTTTATTATAGTCTTGACCTACATTCTTATTTCCCCAGGTGTCACTATAAAAATATATGTTGCAATGAAAAGCTTGAATATAGAATTTGAAATTGACAAGAACCTGCAAAATAAAACTTTGGGTCTATTAGGCAATTTCAACCTGGAAATGTCAGATGAATTTACTCTTCCTAATGGAGTGATCCTGCCAAGCAATATGTCAGAGAGAGACATTTTTTACTCTTTTGGACAAAAATGTAGGCCAGATATAGTTTAATTTTAGGAATAATGAAATTGAGAAATAAAAGAATAACAACAAATTATTTTATTCATTTTATAATTAGCCTATATTACATTTTCCAAAATAAAAAAAAATATTATCCTTTTGGGATTACTTTCTTGTAAACATTGATAACAATTTAGTTTTTTTTAACAATGTTTTATAGGGAAAGTAACTTCAGACAACACTGTTTTCATGTATGGAAAGAGAGAGAACACCAGTACTTATCAACACTCAGACTTTGTTCCTGTATTTGGAGATGAGGCTTCACCTTACATAGTTGCTGAGGCAGAAAAATACTGTGGCATTAATAGCCCAGCTTGTGTCTTTGATTACATAGCAACTGGAAGTGAAGAATTTGCTCTAAGCACTAATGAGTCCGTCCTCAAATTGAAATCTCTTGACACAAATTTAAGTAAGTATTCAATGTATTTTTAAGGTAACACATACTTTATATTTATTTTATAAAATAAAAGCCTTATTTTGGTATCTTTTAAAAAAAAAAATTTATCTAAAAAGCTATAAAAATATTTTTTAAAAGCTTTAGGTAGATTATCTAATTTCTATCACCTTTTCCTAATTAAATTGTATCATTATTTAAAAGGGAAGTAATGTTAACATTTTTTTATTTATACTAAATACCTTTTTTATGGCTGCAAGATCCAAATTCAAACTCTACATAAGTGAAAGCCAATATTTTGCAAAAATAAAATAAAAATCAATGGTGTGCTCAATAGTGATTGGCTTTCTGGTTTGATATATTAACAAGATATTATATACAAATATTATGATTTGTCTATTTTTCAAAAAATTGTATTTTAATATTTACATTTTATTAATGATCTTAAAATGTAAAAGAAATTGGGAGGGGGGGGGGGTTGATATTTTGTATTTTATAAACTTTTTTTTGGCCCAATCAGTTTTTTGAAACTCAAGCAAGAACATAAGAAAAAATAAATCAGCAACTTTTTTACTATTTTTCAAAAAATTGTATTTTAATATTTACATTTTATTAATGATCTTAAAATGTAAAAGAAATTGGGAGGGGGGGGGGGGGTTGATATTTTGTATTTTATAAACTTATTTTTGGCCCAATCAGTTTTTTGAAACTCAAGCAAGAACATAAGAAAAAATAAATCAGCAACTTTTTTAGTACAAATTATATAATTGTTGGCTTATTTTAATTTTCTACACATATAGTCCCTAATTTAGTTATATTTTTTTATAAATCCCATTCTTTTTTTCCTAGACAATAATCCACCAACATTGTCACTGATAACTGCAAATTTAAATACATTTGACCAGTGGGTTGTCAATGAAGAAGTTAAAAACATACTTGAAGTTGTGACAGAAGATGATGACGGTGATTTGGTCTTTGTTGAAATTCTAGATAATCCTACAGAAGCAATTGTGAATAATCAGAGTATCATTTACATGGCTAATTCAAGTTTGCCTATAAAACTTGGGTGAGAGATGCACATTGTACAATTGTTTGTAATGAAATAGTTTAAGTAACACATGGAATTAACAAAAAGATGTTTTTGATGTAACTCATATTTTAAAATATTTATCTAAGTTTAATTTTTAAATGAAGTTAACATTGGAGAACATTTTGGTTATTCTTTCTAGTAGGAGGCTATTTATCATTTGTACTATATGAGTTAATAGTCCTGTTAGTCAGAGAATAATGTCTAAAACTTATTTTATTTATCCCTTAGAAGGGATTTTAACAAAATTGATGTTTCCTTTTTTTTCTGCCTGTGCAAGCTTTAATATATCTCATATTTATGAATGCTTGAAAAGCAAATTTAATTCATAGCAAAAGTTTTGAATTTGACAATATAGTCTGTGTGTTTGTGAATTCTTTTTACACATGTTTATTGAAAAAAAAATGTTGCTTATGACTGAAGACTGTTAACGTCATCAGAAGATATAGATTTGAAAAATCTGAAAAGTATAAAGTGATTTTAAATTCTTTATATAGGAATGCTAAACGTTTACATAACAACTTTGACACAGATGTTTCGAAAATATTGTATGAGAGTTAATTAACTACTGGTCTTTAGTAACAAGTCAAACTTTAAACTTTTTCTCACCCAGACACACCAGTATTTTGTACTTTCTAAAAAGTTGTGCTAATTTTAAATCATTACACATGTCCTAAAATTATTATTAATTTATTATTTTACATGTGTAGTGAGCTCCCACATATGTACAAATTATTCAGGGAAACTCACAGATATTGCACAAGTCTTACAAGATCCATTCATAAAATTCCTTGGCTCTTTATTAACATTGGAATTCAACATCTCAACTTACATGAAATAAATATTTTCCATCTATATTTGCATAGATAAGTAAAAGTAGCTTAATGTGGGCATCATCAGTATGTGCAATTATGGGCAAATTATGCATGTGTAATACATTCGTGTTGTCTCATGTGATACCTAATCTTATTTTAAAATGTTTGAAGCCAAAATTTTCATATAACAAATTTTAAAACTTAAATATTGAAATGGGAGAAGTTTGAAGGAAACATATTGTCTCTTCTCATTTGGGAAGGGAGCTGGACATAGAAAAGCCTAGCATTTCTGTTAAATAGTGATAATTTAAGTATGAAAAATTTAAAATCTATAGCAAAGCCTATAGCTTATTGAAAGAAATAACAATACTCATTTTAGCAAGTGATATTGAAAATGTTTCACTTCATAGAGTCATGGGATTTCATTTTGAAAAAGAAGCTTATGTCTAATAATATTTTTTTTTTAAAACATGTGCTCCATTTTTTTGTGTAAATGTTTATGGATTATTAAAATCAAATTATTTTAAACTTCTCTATCTATAGACTAAGAGCTAAGGACTCCAAAGGTGCTTACAGTCCTATAGTGTATGTGCACGTCGCTGTTTGTACTAGCTGTAATGGACATGGAATGTGTACCAACATCACAAGAGACATTGAATATTTTAATGGATATTTTCAGATCTTTGAATGTAGCTGTTACCCAGCCTATACAGGTAATGTTACCTTGTGTATACATTAAAGGTATTGTTAAACATCACATACAATTTATTCTTAAAAATGTAGGTGGAATCAGTAACCCAATTATTATAATTATTTAATAATCAATATTTATGACATTATAAACAATGCAGTATATTATATTTTTGTTCTGTTTTTGGAACAAGCAATGGTTTTGTCATCTAAATTAATTCCTATAGATCTGAACTTTTTCCACCATGGCTTCAGGCCAAAGGTCACTTCCAAAAATATTCTTTATTGTGTGTGTGCTTGTTTATTCTATAGTGTTATGTTTTCTATTTAGATGCAATAACAATGTTAACTCATAAATACTTATAACATTGTTTAACAACTTATAGGTGCTGATTGTGAGTCAGAGTTGGATGCCTGTGCAAGTAAACCGTGTTCTGTAGGACAGGAATGTACAGATCTGACAGCAGCACAGCAAGGAAATAATCTCAAAGGATATGTGTGTGGTACTTGTCCTGATGGGTATATTGCATCCAATGCTACAGAAAATTGTATTGGTGAGCAGAGTTCTTTTATTGTAAACATTTAATAATTTTTTAAAAATAAATATAGCAAGGTAGTTTCTTTTTATGATTCATCAAATGTGCAATTTCGTGCAATGGTAACCTTACTTGTTTTGCCTTTTTAATAAAATATGAAAGACATTTTTGGCAATGGAGTATTCCTTTTATTTAGCACCTCAGCCAGCTAAATTGACAAATGGTAGCCAACTTGGTGTGGGACTTTAAAATGTCTTTTAATACACAAATAAATGTATTCTTTCCCATTCAGAATGTAAAACAATAATTGATGTAAAAAATTTAAATAAAAAAGAAATTAATAATGTATTATTTTAATACAGTAACTATTTTGAGAGGTTTTATTCAACCACAGCCTATGGGAAATATCTTGTATTAACAAATTTAATTTAATGTCACAGACATTGATGAAGGTTTTATTCAACCACAGCCTATGGGAAATATCTTGTATTAACAAATTTAATTTAATGTCACAGACATTGATGAATGTACAAACAATATCAGTGAATGTCAACACAATTGTACTAATACCATTGGATCCTACAAGTGTAGCTGTAGAGATGGTTATAGACTTGATCTATCTGACAGGAAAATTTGCAAAGGTAATGTAAACATATTTTATTACTGGATTTGAGTTGAATTAATTAGCGATTAATAATTGCTTTAAAAAATAAAGGTAATCTTTTCTATGTTTTTTCATTGAGTGCTATCTTTTAAAATTAACTCTTATCATTTGATTAAAAAGTAATATATTTTGTTAATAACATTACAAAATTTGAATGATTTATCTTGCTTCAGACATCAATGAATGTGAAGAACAGACAGCACGATGTCAACACAAATGTAAAAACACTGAAGGCAGCTACAACTGTTCCTGTTTGGAAGGTTATATACTCAAATCTAATGGCTACAGTTGTGAACTACCAGGTAATGACAATTCTCCAAAAAAAATTTTTTATAATTGCATGATACAAATGTTATAAACAATATTATTAATTTTAAAACTATTTTTGAGAGATAAATAAGTTATAACATTTCTTATTTACTACTTTATAATTTATATTGACTTATAAACTCGTAAATGACAGAACTGAGGATTATATTAATTTTTTACAGTAAAATTGTTTAACAGTGAGAATGTTTTTTATTAATTTATTTTAAAAAAACAACCTTTCATTAAGTTATGATTTTTTAAAATGTAAATTACAGTTTTTCTGTTACATGCTTTGATAATTAATATCAATTTTTTTACTTCATTATAATAGTATAGATAATTTTTCAGAGAGTTCATGACATTTAAAAAATGTAAACAATATGTGATTATTTTGTAAGATTGTCACTCATATTGGATAGAATTGTCATTTATTGTTTTCAATTATTTTTTTTTAGTTTCTGGATTACAGAAATGTACCCAGTGTCAACACACTTGTATATTTAATAAGATAAATAACTCTGCTATCTGCACATGTGATAAGGGATATCTGCCAGATGAGCAAAATGATGTTGAATGTAAAGGTATGCATATAATCGGTCCTTATTAAATTTTATAAAACTTTATAGATGAGTTAGACCTTTTTTTTAAAAAAAAAAGCTGAACAAATAAATTTTATTTTAAAAGTAGGTTCTATAAATGAACTGACTTGTTCAAATTTTTAGGCCCTCAAAACTGATACTCAAGCTATAAATTAATTTTCCTAACACCTCAAATATGATTCTATACACACACAAAAATTAGACACAGAGGCTCATATATCAATAATAAATTTATTGATTGTGCTAAATAGATAAATAATCTGAAATAAAAAAATACATATTTTCTCTTAAAATTACCTATTTGATGTTAGAAATAATTTTTTTAAATGACTTATCTTCACAGATATTGATGAATGTAAACTTGATAGCATGCCATGCAGCCAGGGTTGTAACAATACTGAAGGATCCTTCAATTGTTACTGTTACCCTGGTTACATGATCGAGTCCGACAGAGTTTCTTGTAAAGGTATCTATTGCTTTACATTAATATCTCCTTAATTATTTTAATTTGATGTAAAATTAATGTGCAACTTTAGGCCTTCTGGTGTTATTGGGGAGGAAAGTGTAATTTTTTATGAATTCTGACATTTTTAATGAGTTATTTTACAGATTGACTAAAAATTGACTCATCACAAGCCTAGTTAGTAACGATTTATGTTTGGTTAGGTTAAGCAGTTAAGATTATAGTTAATATCATTTTGCATTTCAGCTTGCGAAATTCCCTTTTATGGAGATAACTGCAAACAAACCTGTGACTGTAATGGCAGAGGATCATGTAACACAGTGAAAGGATGTGTTTGTGATGTCAACTGGACAGGGGTCAACTGTGACATAGATGTTGATGAATGTGCCTTAACAGATGCCTGTCCTGAAGGGCAACTTTGTGAGAACACAAATGGATCATTTACTTGTTCTTGTCCAATAGGCTATAACATGGAAGGAGGTGTCTGCAAAGGTGTGTAGCTTTAATAGCAATTTATTTTATAATTAAATGAAAGATTGATTTATTTTAACAGTGAAAATTAAAAAGAATTAGGTAATTTAAGAAGTTTTTCAATTTTGTGAAAAAAGCAAGAATATATAATTATTATTTTATATATTTTATTCAATCCAATAATTTCTTTACTCAACTTTTTTTAAAAGTTCAAACTACTAAATTTACATTATTTATATATATAAATGATACAATCAAAGTATCCATATTAAACAATGTGGAAGAAGCAACAATTTTAACTAAGAACATAACAACAGGCTTTTTTTATCCGTATTGTTTTAAAAAAGTTCATTGTTGAACATTAAATAGTCTTTAATTTTGAAACTGCATGTTTGCATAATATCTAAATCTCTCTGTAGATGTTGATGAGTGTTTTAGCCTTCTCATCAATGAGACATGTAACTTACAAACAGAAGTTTGTATCAACACTGTTGGTAGTTACAGGTGTGAGTGTAAACATGGCTACGCCAGAGATAACAAATTTATGTGTCAAGGTTAGTGTTTGAATGGAATAAAACTAAATTTATTTAAAATCAAATTCCAGTCAGAAGAGGGTCATAAGTTTTCTAAATTTTAATTATATTATTTGGCAATGCAAATTAAATGAAGCTTTGGAATTAAAAAAATGAATACTAGCTTCAACAATAGATTATTAAAGTAAAAGTTACTTATACAGGATAATACATAAGGGACAGTGTTCAATCCGTGAGAAGGAAATAATGGAACAAGATAAGTTTAGGTTTCAAACGAAAAGACAGGTCTATTAAATGGATGTTTTGGCTAGATGCCTTTTTCAGCAGACAATATCAGAAAAGTAAAAATATAAAATTAGAAAACATAAAAATCTTATCTGATAGAGGTAGCTCTATTTTTTTTAACTCAATTATAAAGATATTCAAATGTAATACATTAAAAATTATTTGATGAAAAAAAAAATAATATGTAAACATTAGGGTACATGGTGATTAAAATATTTTGTATATGAAGACAAATTTAATTCATTTGCTTTATATTTTAGGATTATTAATATTAAAAAACTTTTCTAAAGATATGGTTGTCTTTTAACTTTAAAGTTTATTTCCCAAAATTTAATTCATTATTGATACGTTTTTCTAAAAAAAAAACCCACTAAACATTTTGACATTAAAAATTCTATTTTCAGACAATCACCAATTGTATTGGGGATTGAAAAATCATTTATTATAGCCTCTTAACTCATTTTCCATAACTACAGATGTTGATGAATGCACCCAACAAATTGACAGTTGTCAACATTTATGTCATAATGTTGGTGGAGGCTACAACTGTGAATGTGAGGCTGGCTACCGCCTGGCTGACAACAGACAAAACTGTATTAATGGTAAGTCTAAACATTTTATGACACATATTTTATCATTCGCATGAAATACTTAGTAAACATATTAATTTATAAGTAATGGTTTGAAGATGGTTACTTTACCACATTGAAAATGTCTAGGTTATATAATTCCTTAAAATATTCTATTATGATATATGTATCAAATATTATTTTTTCAGAAAGCAATTATAATATTTATTTTTTGCAACACAACTGCAATAATATGACATAATGTTTTACAGTCCAAGACCTTTGTAAAGCATCCAACATGAATTGTACAAATGGATGTACTTTGGATGATGAGGATAAACCATTCTGTATTTGTCCACGTGGATATAACAGCTTAGTTGAAAATGGATATGTAACCTGTGTGGGTAAGTACATTTTTACTGCTTTATTCAAAATTATATAATATAAACTCAATAAAAGCAATTGCAGATTCCTGATGGTGCTTTAGTTTTAAAGAATCCAAAGTAAAAAAAATTTGAAATTTTATACAGTTAAATTTTGAAAGAAGTTCATCATCATCATCATGTCCCTTAGTCCTTGGACCGTTGGGGTGCCACAGATGACATGTGAACTATCCTCATCCATTTGTCTCTGTCTTCTGCACTGCACAGAGCATCGCCCAGTGTCAGTCCTGTCCACTCTTTGATGTTATCCTCCCATCTTTTTCTTTGTCTTCCTCTTCTTCTCCCTCCTCCTGTGGTGCCCTGCAATATTTCTTTGGCAAGCCCTTGATTCCTTGTTACATGGCCGTACCATTGTAGTTTGCATTTTTCACAGTCACCAGTAGGTCATCGTCCTCCCCAATTGCCAGACAAACCCTTTCTTTCGCTGTATCATTGGAGATATGGTCCCTATAGCATATGCCAAAAATGCTTCTGAAGCATCTCATCTCCATTGCCTTTATTTTCATTTCAAGATCGGCTGTTAATGTCCAGGATTCGCAGGCATACAGAAAAATGGAAAGTAATATAAAGAAAAAAAATTAAAGAAAAACCTTTTGGAAAATATATTTTTAAATCATTTTTTGTTACAAGTTTGTGATAGCTATTGTCAAAAAATGGTGTTTTTCATTACAAGATTGCAATATTAACATTTTTTGAAGCGTTTTTTTTTTATTGAAGGGCAAACCAAAACAAAAATAATATTTACATTTTGAAAATGTAGCTTTCTCAATAAATAAATATTAAAGCAAGAATTTTTCAGAAAAATTGAATAACAATTTTTGCAGCATTATCAATTTCTGGAGTAGGCCTATTTGTGGCGGATAGTCAACTAGGAGTAGGTCCCCTCCGTTTGGCCGCAGAAACAATTTCAGACTCTAGAACTCTGTTGCTTTCCCCTGGCCCTAAAAGGCTGATGTGAAGTAAACAAATTCAAATTTAAAAAAATCACGAGATGGTTTGATTAATCAGTATTCTTTAATTATTTATGTACTGTGTTAAACACACTCCACACCATAATGACAGACCAGTAACAATGGCGTTCACGGCAGAAGAAAGGAAACTCCTGTTCTCCATACAAAGATATACTCAGCTCAACAATCTAATAGCTCACTCCTTAAAAAAAAAAGTCCTCCTTGTTGCTCACACTACTTTTCAATGTGTGTTTTTTTCAACACACGCCACAGTTATAAGTAAAAGCTCATACGTCATTCATGTCTGAATACAATTGTTGGGATATAAGTGGAAGTAACTAAAGAAAAAACTATTGCTCACTCATACAGCACCAAAATTAGACACAGTATGGCATCACTTGATCTGACTATGACACCATGCTTCATGCAAAATCATATCAATCATATTTTTGTTTCCTATTTTAACAGATATTAATGAGTGCGCCTCAGCTGAGAATAACAGCTGTTCATACAAACCTGGATGTAATAACACAGATGGTGGCTACATTTGTTCTTGTCCTGCTGGTTCTAAGCTCGATAACAATGGTCGAAATTGTCTAGGTTAGTATTATTTATGCTTGACTTCTCTGCTCTTTCTTAAACTCGATTTATATTTCTCCCTAAAAAGTTTTGTCTTGTAAAATAAACATTAACAATAAAAGACAAAGTATAGACATTTTGAAATTTTAATGATAATCATAATGAATTATAACTCTAATTTTATTTTTCAAGTTACAATAGGCAATATTTGTTTTATTTTTCTCTAAGCATGTTCTGGAGACACATGGAGTGTTGGATGTTCCCATAGCTGTACCTGTGGAATAGGAGCTGAGAGATGTGATCCTGTCAAGGGTTGTGTATGTAAGTCTGGATATACAGGTCAGTTTGAAAAGATTCTAATAATTTTATTTAGTTTCTTGTTACTAGTTTATAATTTGTATTTGAATGCTCTAGCCAATTTAAAAATTTTTATCTGGAAACTCAAAAACTACATTTAACATTCTTAACATCAATCAGGAGATAACTGCAACATTGACATCAATGAATGCACTAGTGGAGCTTTGACCTGTAAGGAGAGGGAAGTTTGTATCAACTTACATGGGAGTGCCAAATGTGAATGTCAGTCTGGTTATGAGTACGATGATTTTGGTCACTGTCTTGGTAGGTTTTTTGCTTTTGTTCCCTTACCTATTAGAACTAGTAGTTAAATTATAATTACTTTAACTATTTCAACACAGAAATATTTTAATTCTTAACTTGTCTCTTTCTCAGATATCAATGAGTGCTCTAAAAACAATGACTGTTCTCAAATATGCACAAACACAGAAGGTTCTTATAGTTGTTCATGCTACATTGGTTTTACTTTCAACAGCACTAGCAATACTTGTCTAGGTAATGTGTTTTTTTTTTCCATTTTAACTATTGAACTAATATTATTTCAAATTTATAATATTATTTTTCTCTAAATTTTTTATATAATTCTTTCAATTTTTTGTCAATTTAGTGTGAAATATCTTTTTAAAATACATTGTTTTGTCTTCTTATAAAATAATTTAATAAAGTATAATGTTTCACTTATTAAGCTAATTGCTATATATATATAATTATATATATATATAAATATATATATATATATATATGAAAATTTAAAATAGTTGGTAGGCCTATTTGTTCCTTGCCAGAAGTGAACCTATGGAAGTTTACACTTTTCCCTAATATGCAAATGATCTTTATTATTCATGGCAGTAATAGTAATAATAATAATAATCAAAAAATATTAAAAGTTAGCATAGGTGGTTGCAATCTTGTTTTAGTGATTATAAGGAAAAACATGCAATAATTATTACAAATGTAAAATTGATATAAAATGAAATTTACATAAAAGATATTTAAATAGAACTACTCATCTTATTAATGTGTTTTCATATTCATCTAAACTGAATTTTGTAAGTATTTTGAAATTTGAAAATTTAAAATTATAAAATATTGACTTTAAAAAATATATTATTTTCATTTGCAAATTATTTCTTTCTTTCCATTTTTTAATAGTCTAAATACACAAATTTTGTAATCCATCTTTGTTGTTAATAACTATGTTTGTTTACAAAGGCAATTTAAAGTAGTTTCAAATAAAAAAAATAATTTGTGATGGAACTTTAAAAAAATATGCAACTCTTCAATAAATATTTTAAATAACACAGGGCTGAGGCTTTCATCTATTTGGCAATACATGTTTGTTTCCATTGTAATATTAGACCACTAAAATATTTATATCGTTTTCATTTTATTTAATGGAATAAGTCTAAGTTTGTTTAAACATTATTTCATGAGAATAAAATTAAATAACAAAACATTAAATTAGGTATCATATAAGAAACTCTGTGTTTATCTTGAAGCAGCTCATATTCTTGACATTCATAAAGATTAAATAGTGATGTAAGACAAAACGAATATATTCATAACTTAAAAGTCAACCCCTTATTTAAAACATGACTTTTTTATATTTATTCTTAACAGACATGGATGAATGCCAATTAGGGAAACATCAATGTGACCAAATCTGCACTAACACTGATGGAAGCTATCGTTGTTCATGTACAGATGAACTTGTCCTACAACTGGATGGCGTTTCATGTGGAGGTTATTTTTATTCTGTTTTACATAATGGTCTAATTTTGGGTGCAAGTTCAAGTTTCACTAAGGAAGCTTATTTACTTTTGGAGTTTGCCTTGATTATTTCCCTTTTGAGTAACTAACCATTGTTAATAAAATGATAATATGACAGGCACCTAAACAGGTTAAGATTTGTGTAGTACAGATGTGTAAGAAAGAAAAATCCACATTATTTTAATAGCTTTTCATTCCTGATTCAATTAATTCATAAACTATTGTTTGGCCTGTGAATTAAATAAATAATTACTATTTGGGATTTTCTATGGGAAATAAAATGATTTATTGCTTTACAACATGAAATTTATTACTTTTATTTTTCCTAATTTAAGTAAAAAGGATAACATAATTTAATATTATAATTATATAAATTATTATATCTATATTTATGATAGTTTTTATAAAAAGCTTACTTTATAGTTTGTATCACTCTTACTAACATTAGCATTTCAGACTGCTTAGTTTTCCTGTGTTTCATTAGGTAGTTTTATTTACTGTAAATATCATACTCTTGTACTAAATTTTAGACCTCACATCTAAATTTTGTATTTTTGAAATTAAAAATTGATAGTCTGTTTAAAATAGCAGTAACGTTAGTACACTCTAAGCAAAATGACATATTATATATGAACATAGATTTATGAAAAATTGTATCTATTTATTTTTTAGCCTATTCAAATATTTTTTGCCATTTAAAGTAGGCATGAAATTTCTTAATATAATTATTTAATTTATGAAATCAAAGTCATGTTTCTATTTTTTTTCTCAGCTGAAAATCCATGTACATCAATCTTGTGCTCTGAAAAATGTGCCAACATTAAAGGCCTTGACACATGTTTATGTGGGAAAGGAAAAACACTAGCAAAGGACAACACTTCATGTGATGGTAAATGGCTTTTAAAATGTTGGATTAAGTGGTGGGAAAAGTCAGATCAAAGAAAATAAACTGAATGTTCACTTAATTAGTTTTACACCATTTTATTTTGATTCTCATGTGGTACATTATGATATTTAAACAAAATGTTGCTATTTCCTGGAGATAAAACTTAGTCGCTTAAGCAATGCTCTAAATATAATTTTAGAAAACTGACATAATATAACTTTTATATACATGTTTAAGTGTTGTACCATATTTAATAAAAATTCAATGTAACTGTTATTGTAGATACATTTTTAAAAGAAAATTACCTTAAAAATTTTTTAGTGCACTGTATTAGCTCATTACTAAATCTTGCCATCCGTCAGTAGGCAAGGGGCCTTAAGTGTTACTTTGAAAATATTCAAAGAGAATAATTTTGTTTGAACAATTTACATTTAAATATCGCTGCTCACCTATTTACAATTTTTATTATCTTAGATAAACAGTTGCTTAGATGTGAAAATAATATAGAAAATCACTTTTACAAAATTACATGTAGACTTGGATTTGTGCAAGATAACCCCATGTTCTGAAGGATGCGTTGAAACAAAGGAAAATAAAACTTATGAATGTACTTGCAATTTTGGTAAATACTTGGCAATGGATGGAATCACCTGTACAGGTAAAAGAAGATCACTAAATCCTTAATAATGCATGATTTCTTTTCCTTTTTTTTTCATATTTATAAAAAATGCAAAAATAAGTTAATTATAATGTTAAAGCCTGCCAATGGAAAAAAAGCTATCAAACCCCAATATTTTATTTAGCTTATAGGATGTAATTTAGTTTAAAGAGGTCAAGATGTTAAAATGTATAGATTATTTCCAAGTAAATGTATTTATTGTCTTCCTTTACTTAATGCAAATATATAATTAATCACCTAAATATAATTTCAATATAGAGTGCATTCATGGAAAATATGGTATGAACTGCAACAAAATTTGCACCTGCCAAATGTCAAATACCAAAACTTGTGATACAGTCAATGGATCTTGCAGTTGTCTCCCTGGCTGGAAGGGAGAGAACTGTACAATTGATGTCAATGAATGTGCTGATAACTCATTTTTATGTCAAGAAAATTCTAACTGTCTAAATACATATGGATCTTATGTTTGTGTTTGCAATGATGGTTTTATTCAGAATGGAAATATGTGTGTAGGTAAGAATTCCGCATACTTAATGCTACTGAATTATTTTCTAGTTTATTAAGAGATATCAGTATCACATTTTCATATTAGTTTTAAATAGTTATGTAGGATCCTAACTACATGTTATTTTTTTGTTTTTAATTTACTAAACAAACAAATAATTTTCAATCAGAGTGCAGTAAAGGAAAATATGGATTGAACTGTAACAACAGCTGCAATTGTCAAATGTCAAATACCAAAATTTGTGATAAAGTAAATGGAGCTTGTACGTGTCTTCCTGGCTGGAAGGGAGATAACTGTACATCTGATATAGATGAATGTGCTAATAACATATCTTCATGTAAAGAACACTCACACTGTGTAAACACAATTGGATCTTATGTCTGTGCTTGTGATGACGGATTCATTCTAAAGGATAACATATGTGCAGGTAAGAATCTGATGCTTTCTTTGGCTTGTTGGTATCTTCTGTTACAGATTAATACCTAAGAAATCATTTACAATATCACTTTTTAAAATTTATTTGTACATTCTTACACATGATAAAAATTAGCACAACAACTATGATTAAATTTTAGTGGGAAAAAAACATGTTTAATTCCTTAAAAATATATTATATGTAAATTTTTTTTCAAATTATTAATAAACAATTTCCATTTAGAGTGCATTTACAGAAAATATGGAATAAACAGTAAAAATAGTTGCAGTTGCCAAGTATTAAAAGTGTGATAATGTCAATTTTTGTTGCCTAAATTTATGAAAAGAAATTCTTTAAAATTTCTTTATTATTTTCTTTTTTTTCTTTTTTTGTTTGTTTTAAATTTGTTGACAAAAAAATAATTGCCATTCAGAGTGCATTGACGGAAAATATGGAGTGAACTGTAACAACAGCTGCAATTGTCAAATGTCAAATACCAAAACTTGTGATAATCTCAATGGAGCATGTAAGTGTCTTCCTGGCTGGAAGGGAGATAACTGTACATCTGATGTAGATGAATGTGCTGATAACTTATCTTCATGTCATGAACATTCTCACTGTGTAAACACAAATGGATCTTATGTTTGTGCTTGTGATGATGGATTCATTCTCAAGGATACCATTTGTGGGGGTAAGAATTTTTCATTGGCTTGTTTGTATCATTTATTATAGATTAATGCCAAATGAAATCATTTACAATATTATTATTTTATTATAAGTGGTTTTATATAGCATGGTACCCCAGCCTAGGTCTGGGCTCACCACGCTGTACATATAATTTAACAAACATAATCATGAACTTACAAAATTAATTAACATACATTAATCAAATAAAATAAAACAAATGTATATTTAAATGTATATACGTGTCAAGCCATGGATGACACCCAGCAGCATCGTTTTTCAGTCAGAGGGAGGAATCAGTCAGGGTAGTAGAGTTTAAAAAGAATCATTTTAAGTGAGTTTCGAAGGCTGTGATGGTCTGGATATTGCGGATGTGTAATGGAAGAGAATTCCATTGTTTAGAGGCACAGAAAGATTGTTCACAGTATGTTTTAGTGCGAGTCTTGGGGACAGAGCAAATATGCGTGACTACGGAGGAGCAAAGCTGTCAAACGGGTGAATAGACAGAAAGAAGTTCGGTAAGATAGGAAGGGCAGGAATTCGAGAAGAATTTTTGGTAGAGAACAGAGAGTTTATAGTCAATCCGTGCCTGTACATGGAGCCAATGAAGTCAATGAATGTGAAGTGATCATGTTTTTGTGCCTTTAGAACTAGCCTAGCAGCTGAGTTTTTAAACTTTTGTAGTTTTTCTAAGAAATGTTTTGGTGAACCTAAAAGAAGAGAGTTGCAATAGTAAAGATGAGAGAGAACAAGAGCATAGACTAGGGTTTTTGTTGCACTAACTGTGAGGTAGTGGCAGATGGAACCGACAGATAGCGGTGTATGCAGAGCGACAAATGTGAGAGATATAATAATCAAGAGACGTAGACAGAATATAACCAAGATTTCTAGCAGAGCATATTAACTGTATGTCGGAGTTACCTACTTGAAATAAAGTGAGAAGAGCTGAGTTAGAGGATGATTTGTGATTGTGAATAAGGAGTGCTTCCGTTTTGTCATCGTCAAGCTTCAACTTGCTTAGTGTCATCAATAACTTGATATCACCAATGCTCTCCTGCAAAGTCTAGACAGCGGAATCAACAAGAGAGGGATGGATGTGCTTGTATAGCTTTATGCCATCCGCCAATGACTGACTCTCAACAGCACGCCTCCCAAGTAAGAGGAGCAGTGGACTGGTATACATTGTGAATAGAACCGGGCCTAAAACGGACCCCTGTGGCACTCCGTACACCAAGTCAGCACAGTGGGAGAGACAGTTATTGACAGAGACCACCTGCATCCTATTGAAGGGGTAGGACCAAAACCAAGGCAAAACTGAACCAGAAATTCCAAAGTAATTTTCAAGGGTTTTGTAAAGGGTTTCATTATCAACCATGTCAAAGGCCCCTCTGAGGTCTAAGAAGTCAAAAGATCTAAAATTATTAAAATAATTTTGATCAATTCTTTTTTGGAAATATACAATTTTTATTTCTCTTTTTAAAATGTATTCATTTTTTTCATAAATTTATTAACAAAGAAATAAATTATATTCAGAGTTCATTGATGGAAAATAAGGAATGAACTGTAACAACAGCTGCCATTTTCAAATACCAAAACTGTTGATAATGTCAATTTGTGTTTCCACAATATTTTGGATGAAACCATGTTTAATTCTTGAAAAAGTTTTAAATGTCTTCTTTTTTAAAAAAAAATTATCAACAAATAAAAAATCTCTATTCAGAGTGCATAAATGGGAAAATATGGAATGAACTGTAGCAACAGCTGCAATTGTCAAATTTCAAGTACCAAAATTTGTGATAATGTCAATGGATCTTGTATGTGTCTTCCTGGCTGGAAAGGAGATAACTGTACTATTGATGTAGATGAATGTGTTGAAAACTTATTTTCATGTCAAGGACATTCTCACTGTCTAAATTCAAATGGATCTTATATTTATTTATTTATTTATTTAGGCATTTTCATATAGCGCTTACCATAAAGCTCTAAGCGCTTTACAATTATTAAAAACATGTAAACTAAGTAAAATAAAAATGAGACACTAGGACAGCAACTACCATACTATAGAAACAACGAAAATGGCTACAAAACGAGGACACTTTGACACGTTTTTGGCCCATACTTCAGGATCAACCCTAAACAGAAGATGAGGCAGGGCAAGGAGGGTGCATCACAGGTCAGCGGCGTGGAGATAGGCGCTTTGCTGTGTAGGGAACAAGCTTATATTTGTAAAGTGAATAATCCCAGGTCGTGTGAATTTCGTCCCGCGAAGTCTGCACCATTATGATGGACGGATGCCAGCAAATATTAGAGACCATCGTTCCCAAATGGAGAATGTCAGGCCAGGAAACAAGCATAACAATGCTAGCGTGTCCTACGGAAGATAAATTTGGAAGAGACAAAGAGGTTTTGAGCGCTACCCATGTTAACAGCGATTAAATTGTTTCTGTGTGATGGACGGTCAACATCGTATGTGAAACAATGGCGGGCGTGTACGGCCACGTGAGCTTTCATTGTGGGTAGGTCAGTCTGACCCTTTATATAAATATATATGCCGCACTAATTCTGTAGACTGTGCTTGTCAGCAGTTTAATGGGGCAAAGTGAAAATGATTGATGGTGAAAAGTAACCATGAGAGATGAGATAGATAGACAGATAGATAGATAGATAGATAGATAGATAGATAGATAGATAGATAGATAGATAGATAGATAGATAGATAGATAGATAGATAGATAGATAGGTAGATAGATAGATAGATAGATAGATAGATAGATAGATAAGGGCAAGGAGGGTGCATCACAGGTCATAGGCGGACCTAAACAGATGAGTTTTAAGGGACTTTTTGAAAATGGACGAGGTTTCACAATGACGGATATGGAAGGGGAGCTGGTTCCAGAACGTGGGCCCATGGAAGTAGAAGGAGCGTTCACCGATGGTCTTAGTTTTGGTTCTTGGGGTTGAGAGGGTTCTACTGTCAATGGAAGAACGTAGTTGTCTTGTGGGGATGTAAGGAAGCTGTGCTTGTGATGATGGATTCATTCTCAAGGATAACATTTGTGAGAGTAAGAAATCATGTTTTCATTGGTTGCTTTCTAACTATTATTATAGATTAATTCCTGATGAAATCATTTACAAGATCAATTTTTTCTTTGTCAGTCCATTTCAAAAGATCTTATTAATTTATTAAAATAAATGTTTGATGATAAAGACAAATAACTTTAATTTATTGTAGATTAAATACTGCAACGTCACAACATTATCAAATATAATGGTAATAGAACAAATATTTAAAAGAGATTTCATTGTAATATGGGAAAAGAGAAATGAAAATATAATAATTTATATAAGTAAATAATATATTTGTCTAAATAGCCTAGATTAAATATACTTATTTTGAATTGAAACAGATATTTCCTTTCTTTTTTAAATTGCTATTTTCTTGGAGTTTAGACAAATGTGAGATATCATTTTAAACATTATTAAAAAAATACAGAAATATTTATTTCTATCCATCAAACTCAGTTAATAACTAAAAGGTGAACAATTTATAGAAATATTTATTAATCAATGCAGAAAAAAAATTCCATTGGGACAAAAGAAATTTTCAATATTTAAATACACAATTATTTTTTAAAGAATATGATAAAACCTGCAAATTTATTAAATTTTCAATATTGAGAACATATGTAATGTAACCAAACAAATGGTGTCTTCCACTGTAGAAAATAAACTCTGTTCTTGTACTTGTAATTGGTGGATTCTGTTTTCACACAACTCCTTTTATGCATTAACTTAAGAT